CCAATGAATAAAACAAATTGGCAAGTGCTGTTTCTGACTAGACCAGCTAAATATTTCATATCCAACTATTTGTTATGAAGCCCTGAAGTGACAATGGAAACCTAAAATGATTACTTCTCCACTTTGAATGTTTTGCTTGGGGACAAAAGGAAAGTGCATCTGCTACTATAGGAGTAATAAGAAGTTGAAACTTACAGCATTCAAAACTCAGCATTACTTATTAGTTGAGAATTCAAAATATCTGAGTCATGGTATTTTTGGAAATTGAAGAAGCAATTGGACAGGGATGCCATATCTAGCTTGACTAGAAACAGCACAACTGCAAAGCAAATAATGCGCACTTTCACCCCCAATGACCTGGAAATAAGCACAAACAAAATATTCAAGGGCTTAAATTTTTGCTGTGGGAAACTTACTGCAGCTAAATAGAGAAGAAAATAGCTGATCCCAGGGGAAGCAAGTAGATGGCAATGTAGGATGTAATTAAGAGCAGTGACAAAGTCATTCACCATTACTATTTGCTTAATCCAGTCACTCTGAGCAAAGGTAGCCACAATGAGGAATTGTACTCTCTACTCAGTATCTGGGGAATCTAGAGGTTTCCAGCACAAAGACCCATCAGTTGAAGGGCGATGTGACAGAGGATTCAGGGAGATTGGTTGGCTAATGGACAGGGGAATAAATTCTCCCAGAACGCTCCATGTTCAAACAATTGGAAATGGAGTCACCCTTCAGATCATCTGTATGCCTGTTTCTTTTTTCCATTTTCAATTTATAATAACAATAACGACCTAGACATAGGACATTTCCTGGGCTTTAATGACTGTCTGAGGTTAATGGCCCTCAACTACACCTCAGGCCATCAACCCCTCCCAGTTGGTCATTAATCTCCAGGAAATATCCTGTTCCAGGGTCATTATTGTTTCAATATCAACTATACCTTAAAAGCTTTATGGATTCTGAAAATATACATCACTTGCCAATAGAGGTTATAAAACCTGTTTAGAATTCTGAAATTATCTGGAGTTTGACCTCTCAGAGATGTTTTGTTCAAAACTAAAATTGGCTTAAGAAAACATTCAACTTCAGACTGTGTTTCTAGTCTAAGACAGAAAGAACACAAAGTTAGAAGAATTAAGAAGGGATTATAAAACTACTCTTGCCTGAAAAATTTCATGGACAGAGGAGCCTGGCGGGCTGTCCACGAGGTCTCAAAGAGTCAGACATGACTGAGCCACTGAACATGCGCACACATGTAAATCTACATCAGGGAATTCTCCGGCCATCCAATGGTTCCCTGGACTCTGTGCTTCCACTGCAAGGAGCGTGCGTCTGATCCCTGGTTGGGGAACTAAATCTGACAAGATGAGTGGCGTGGCTTAAAAAACAAAACAAAACAAAAAAACTACAACAAATTCCAGTGTAAATTTTTTATGAAAGTTTGAATGCTAGTTACCCTTTTTAGGAATCCTCCACTTAATGATCACTTTCTAATTGTAAACTTTTAATTAAAGCTAGAGAAGCAAATTTAAAATAAAATGCAGGGTGATCAGAGACCAAGCGTTGGTTACCTTAAAAGAAATGACTGCACTGAAAACAAAAATGATGTCACTAAGACATGGGTTACACTGGATCAATACTCCGTAACACCAGTTCCATAGTATAGCTGAGGAAATACTCTTCCTACTGTCCTTTCCCAGGCTCACTGCAGAATGAACCAGAAAATGCTGAGGGATGNGATGGATGAATTATTAACTCCAGGAAAAACCAAAAGCTTCATGAGAAAGGAAAGTCATCAGGGTACATAATCGTAATGATATAAATATTAGCCAGTGAGCTATAAGAAGCTGTCCTATAGTAAACCATCTTTTATAGTAATCATAGAATAGCTGTATTGCGGTGTTTTGCCTCAAAAAAATAGAAGAAAACTTGGAAAACCAGAGTTTTTGTTGATGTGAAACCTTGATGAACTTTTCATTTTTTATTTCTATATTGCTGTTATAATAGCAATGATGCAATAGATTTTAAATATTTAATTTTAATGGTACATTCTCTGTCCTTTTTTTTTTCTTTGCCTTCACATTTGAGTTCAAGTTTCCACTTTTGAGAAAGTTATTCTGAAAGAAAATTCAAAAATATTTTAGGAACCTAAAGATTATACAGAACACAGAGTTGTATATATCTTTTTGAGTTCGTATTTTTGTTTCCTTCAGATAAATATCCAGAAGTGGAATTGCTAGATCATATGATAGTTCTATTAAGTTTCTGAGGAACCTCCATGCCATTTTCCATAGTGGCTGCACCAATTTACATTCTCACCAACAGTGCACTAGGGTTCCCTTTTCTCTACATCCTCACCGACACTTGTTACTTCTTGTCTTTTTGTTACTAGCCATCCTAACAGGTGTGAGATGGTATCTCATTATGGTTTTGATTTGCATTTCCCTGATGATTAATGATGTTGAGCATCTTTCCATGTGACTGTTGGGCATCTGTATGCCTCCTTCTTTGGAAAAAATGTTTATTCAGGTTATTCAGACCTTCTGCCCATTTTTTAATTGGATTGTTTGGGAAGGGGGCTGATACTGAGTTGTATAAGTTCTTTGTATATTTTGGATATTAGCCCTGTTAGTGGAAATAGCCACTAAAAGTAAGTAAGGACTTAAGGAAAATAGCATACTTGATTCTGTATTCAAAAAATAATGAATGATCTGAATGGGATTCTAGAGCCTTGTCTTGAGCTTCAAAACCAAGCTCATTTATAAAAAATATCCAAAGATTTTGCCACAGTAAAAGTGAAGACAAGTGAGGTGAACAGAAGGAAAAGCTCCCCATCCTCGTGAGGCAGCAGGAAGGGCCAGGGAGAGCCCGGGCAGCTCCATCCAGGACTGTCAGGCAGCGGGTCAGACTCCCTGTGGCAGAAGGCTGAGACCCAGCACACAGAGCCTGAGTGCCCAGCATGGAACAGAGCACATGTTTTCGCAACCGACTTCCACACAAAGGCCACTGCATTTCTGACAGCAATGCAGCAAACCTGACGTGTCTCTCAGCAGCTCTCCGCATGGGGCAGGGCACAGCACAGAAACGTTAGCAAGGTGATAACTGCTGCCCTAAAGCTGCACGAGGCATTAATCAAGCCACCTCCTGAAGAGCAAGGATTATATCAAGGACCTTAATTTGCCCCCAAGGCCCTGTTTTTACCTTGATTTAGCAGTTCTCCCTATAGCAATCTGTTGTCCTCATCCCACACAGGCCCCAAGCTTGGGGTTCTGTTGCTCCTACAGGCTTGCCTTTGGTAACCCCTCAAGGAGAAAAGCTCCCCAAGAAAGAGATAGAGCTTTATTTTTATCTCAGTCAAAGTCCCTATCCAATCCATTAATAGTTACAATAACCTTGGTCCAGGGCATTTCCTGGAGAAGCCATAACTAGCTGGGGTTAATGAACTCTCTCTACCATTAATTCCTGGGAGAGGCCATTGGCCTGAATTGTTACTTAATTACTCTTCTGTGTACAGCTTCATAAAGCAAAGAAATGCCTTTTTTCAGGAAGAAGGGAGATGGTAATGGGGGTCATCAAAGGCCATTAATTTTACAAATAGTTTATTAGAAACTACAGTATGTTAAAAAGTCACTCTGGCCCACAAATCAACTCAATGCAGTCCTTATTAAGTCGAGATCCAAAACTTCCTAGGTTTCCATGATTCACACACACAAAGTCACAAATGGTGCAGAATCTGGTCAAAACGTACATACCTAGCTTTGCAGAAGTATATTCTTTATATTCTGCAAATGATCTTATCTTCCCCTTTAGCTCTGACTCCTTAAGTTGGCAGAAAGGATTCAATGGGACCAATTCAAGATACCATAGACTTTTCTTAGTTAAAAATCCTTCAGGTAATTTCTCAGTCTGGGGAGATTCTCCTTCTCTAGAGCTCTCCTCTTTCCCTGGAGAGTGGCAGGTGCAGGGGAAAGCTGTGTATTCTTGAGGTGGACTGAAGGAGGAGCTTTGGGTCTTCATACCTCTGCTTGTTGCTCCTAGGTCTGCTGGCCTTTCAGGATGCATGCTGGCCCATGCTCCGGATGGCCATGACCTTTACTATTGCCCATGTGGGGTCTCTGGGTTCTGTGTCCACTCCAGCACAACCTCAGGTCTCCCATTCACTAGCCCTCTTAATGCAGCTACACCCACACTTCCAGGTTTGGAGGTGCTCAGCTGCACCACCCGGTTTCCAACTGTAACAGCTTCCCTCCCACACATATAAACACACTACATCTCGTCTCATCCCCGTCACCCATTTATGTTTCCTTCCAGCACTTTTCTCTTTTGTCATACCAAATAAAATTAATTTGCTCCTTTATTTTGTTGTTTGTGTTATTACTACCCCACACACACACCCCTCTTAGAACAGCAGTCCCCAAAACTTCTGACACCAGGAACCAGTTTCATGGAAGACAATTTTTCTATGGACAAGGGTGGGGCGAATGGTTTCAGGATGATTCAAGGCATTACATTTATTGTGCACTTTATTCCTATTATTATTATTACATCAGCTCTACCTCAGATCATCAGGCATTACATCCCAGAGGTTGGGGACCCCTGCCCTAGAATGTAAACTCCATGAGGGCAAGTGTCTTGACTATTTAGCATACTCTGTCTCTCTAATGCTTAGAACAGTGCTTGGACTACAAAGGGGTTCAGTTTGTCAAATGCATGAGCAGTGAGTTGGCTACATGATGGGATTAGACTGCTGGCCTTAGGACTCAGACTTTCTATATCAGCTACACTTGGGCAGTGAGAGAGCACAATCTGCCAGAGAAGTAAAAAACAGGGGCTGCCGCCTTCACACGGCCCAGAAATCAGATCCATTCAACTACTGCTGCCAAAGGGAAGACATGACCATGAAACACACACACCCAGCTAGGTTCTGCAGTCTCCAGAGGTGGTGAGAAACCGTTGCCACCCAACCCACTGTGACATGCTGCTCCGCCCTCCCCATGTCAACAGCAGAGTCATGAAGGTTCTGAGAATCTATTGCACAGTTCCACTGGGGAAAGATTTGACGCTTCAGCAGCTAACTGCCTAGGGCAGAATCAGGAAGACCATACACATCAGAAGGGAGGTGGGGTTTATGGAAGAAATGGAGATAAAGGGGAAATCAAGGAGGCACAGCAAGCCAAATTATTTACTTCTGCTTGGTTTTTCTGAGATCTATTTAATACTAAGATCTTAATATCTGGAGATTCCTGCAGACACTAGGCTAGAGAGCACAGAGATTACTTTTTGGAGAAGTTATACACCTACACCCATGTCCATGAGCTCTTTAGGAAAGCAGCTGGGCCTGGAGCAGAAAGGGACTTAACAATTTATAACTATTGATTCAAAGGATTTTGTGTAGGTGAACTATCTCCGAATATATCTGTTAGCAGGATATATGCTAAAATATCCAGTACATACTGTATCCTCACTGCATCCTTACTGAGGCATAATCAGATCATGAGCAGAAAACCAAAAGGCTGAATTTTGTCATGGCCAAAACATGAAGTTGGTGGGAAGAAACCAGTTAATTTTGTTTCTGTATTTGGGGGCTCTAAGCTAGTTACCCTATTTCATAAATGGACCCATTTCCCCACTTCATTAGATACATTTCTGTGATATTTTAGGGAAATCTACAATGGAAGAACAAAAGGAAGATCAGCTAGATTATGAGTAAGTAACCCTAATTACACAAAGCCACATCCAAGAACCAAGGTATGAAGAAGGCCCGCTGCTGATGTCTTGCTTCATGTCCTAGTTTTCCTCTCTCTCTCCCCATCTACTATCTATCCATCCCCCACTGCATTCCGCCCCAAGGACTTTGTGCCCTCTTGAAGGGACAGCTTTTATAGGTTTTCCCTTCTAAGTGATAGCTATTTTAAAGTCCTTCCAAGGTAGGACTTCCTTTTCCAAAATCATCCCTCATTCTTACTCAAAAATCTCTCTGCCTCACTAACTTATTTATGGCTAATTATTTAAAAAGCCAACTACTTAATTGATACAAGAAAAAGAAAAGTTTACTGAGAGCTTCCCATGTGCCAGGTACCCTTTCTAGACCACGCTAGTGTTAACCTTTATTTTATTCAAATTTTCTTCAAAAAGATGTTTGCATTCTTAAAAGCGTATGCATGGATCACATCCGTTAACTTAATGGAGTGACTGTCATGGTACATTTTTCAAGCTTTGTAGTAGGCACTGGAGCAGAAGTTTTGAGATAAGGAGGAAGGGAAAGACTGAAGCTCTCCCTGCCAGTGAAAATCACTTGTGCCTCTGCATGAGGCCAGGCCCAATCATTAGGAATGTGCCAGCTACCTGTATAAAAGTACTTAAGAAAAGTGGATTGCATGAGCAGATTCTGTGAACAATTTGTCTGAGAAACCAGTGCAGAAGGCTGTTTAAGGAAGCAAGACTTCTGGAACCAAAGTAGAGGTGCACTAGTATATCAAGCACTTTGGCTGAGAAAGCCAAGAAAAACCTCCCTTGCTAACCAAGTTGAGACTTACTGAAACAAACTGTAGAGCATGATTAAGAAATATAATTTCCTAAGAATGAAAATGGAAAGCTATGTTCCCAGAAATAGCCAGGTTAATGAATTTAAAGCCTTTTAGATATGCCCTTTAGTCCAAAGATTACTGACCTTAAAATAACTGGCCCTTGTTCATTTTGGGGACTGAGTCTATAGGCCAGAGAAAGTGGAAATCTTCAGATTGGCCCAGTCAAAGAAGAACATTAACAGTTTGAATATGGACCTTGAAAGGGATATGCAGAGAATAGATGAAGCAAATCAGGACCTTCTTGTCAAAATCCACGAGAAAGAAGATGAGATTCAGAGGTGAGTGTTGGGGTTCCATGTGGAAAGTACTCAGTCCAGAGGATGGGATGGGAAAAAAGGGACAAAACTGAATTTTCCAGTTTGTTCTAGATATCTAAATCTTGTACAGCAAAGTGTCTCCTTCATTCTTTGGCATTTCTCTACAGCTCAAACCCGAACTACAGCAAGTTTCAAGGAGATTCCTAAAAAATTGGGTGATATTTACCTGAGTTGAAAGAACACTGAGGTATTTGATTTGGAATTAGAGGAATCTTACTTTTCCTGCCTTGAAAGTGATTCTGAGTCTAAAAATTCAGGAAAGAAGGGGTTCCAACTTGAGATTCATATTTACGGTCACTGAGGTACCCTTGAAACTGCTGAGTTCCTCACAGTGTGTGCCTGTCATCCAGGTTGGAAAATGAGATCACTCAGACCAGGGACCTGGCAGAGGATGAGGAGTGGGAGAAGGAGAACAGTGCCACGATGGAAAGGGAAAGAGCCTTGCAAGAGGTGGAAGAAGAAACTGCCAGACTGGTAAGCAAGAAACTGGGAAGTGCTATTTGACAGGTTACATTCATTATCCTGTCTCTTATCAACCATGAGATAAGCTGCTGTTGTTGTTGAGTTGCTCAGTCATGTCTGATTCTTTTTGACTCCATGAACTGCAGCACACTGGGCTTCCCTGCCCTTCACTATCTCTAGGAGTTTGCTCAAACTCATGTCCATTGAGTTGGTGATGCCATCCAACCATCTCATTCTCTGTCGCGCCCTATTCCCCTTACCCTTAACCTTTCCCAGTGTCAAGGTCTTTTCCAATGAGTCAGTTCTTAACCTCAGGTGGCCACAGTGTTGGAGCTTCAGTTTCACCGTCAGTCCTTCCAAAGAATGAGATAGTCTCCCCTTTTTACATACAATGTGTAGTCAACTGAAAAGCTGTGGCAGGATGTGACCATCCACAGAAAGGAATGTGTGGAGGTTAGGGTTTCTTTGGTAATATTTAGTACTGGAAAGCCCTGTGTGTGGGCATCTCTGTCCCTGGTAAGTTGGCAGGTATGTATTGAGATCAAACCACAGATTCCTAACCTGACATTATGCAGTAAGATAGAGTTCCTGCAGGAAAAATCACTAGAGTAAAATGGAGAACAATCAACTGAAAAAAAAAAAAAAGATGATGATATGCACACGCCCACTTACACTCTGCTTTTTTCTCTCAACAGGAAAGGAAGAATGAGACCCTGGTCCACAACATAGCAGAACTTGAAAGAAAGGTGGGATAGGATTCTTGTGTTCCCCAGTGTTCCCGCTGCATCCACAGTCATCAGAGAGGCAAGGGAACAAAAGTGATCATAGGGGATTCCACGTGTCAGACCAGCCTGTGCTGGGGTGGGAACTACTCTCCTGAAACTTAGCCCGATAACATAAATAAATTCCACCGATCTTCCCTACAAGTATCAGATGAAAGAAATGGGTGGGGTATTCAGGGTATTCAGTGATACAGTGGGTTCTTCATTGTGTTATAAGGATTCCAATAGACATTCTGGAAGTGATTGGCTGGCAACTTTGTAGTGAGAATTAATTTTACTTTCAACATAGACTTTTAAAAACACTTAATTCTTAAGGATTCCCTTTTCTTCATCGAGACATACCCTTTATCTTAACTGCTGCTCAGAATACAGTGGGCTTCCTATGTTTACCGCGCTTTCTGACCCAGGTCTGCAGCCCTGAGTAACCTAGCATGGATTAGGAGTTTGGAAAAGTACCCATGTCTTGAGCAGATCTAGCTTTGATGACCAAGACTAGTGAGAAGAAATTGGAGGTAGAATAAAAATGTTTTCAAGGGCACCAAGTGTCCACCAAGGGACCATCTCCTGACAGCTTTTGTCAAGGCCAAATTACCAGCCCACACACACCAGAGAATGTCTTTGTCTTTTTTTTTATTGGATGTATTTTTTATCTGCAATTGAATTTTTTTATTTGAAACTGTAGCTTACAAGGAAATCTCAAAAGGCAACAAAGTGTGAACAAGACAACCTAAAGGGAACCCCAGAAGAGTCAAAGGTAAATGGAAAAGCAATCTTGAATGGGTTTGGACTATGTGAACAGGAAACAAGCCTTTAAGTTGAAACAACTGTCAAAGTTGAGATAAATTCTTTGTAGTTTTACCCATGTCAGGCATAAGCCTGGACCATTTAGTGCTGAATTTTCCTCTGCTCTTAGTCAGGAATTTTGCTCTGAAGCCATATATTTTGTTCTTTCTTCCATGAGGAAGAGCAGAAACACAAATACATACGTTACACTGGAGGCAGCTGAAGTCTCTAATTTAAATCCTGGCCCCAGTACTTAGTGTGGTATATGAAGGGCAATTTAATCAGTCCCTCCCAACCACAGTTTGAAAATTGAGTGAAATTGTATATATAAACTAATCTTTCCCTTTTTTGGACAGCTAAAACCTGAAATCCCATAATTTTAAAGTGACTATTTAAGAGTCTGGCTAAGGTATGTGTATGAATTCATAGACAGAGCTAGGATCTGTAAATCTACTGTATGCTGGGAAATTTACATATCCTATCACGGGATCCAGTCTAGGAAAAGAAATCACTAAATTGGTCATACAAGTATCTAGTGAGTTTTACTTAAGTAAGGTGATTATATGCGTGCTAAGTCGCTTCAGTTGTGTCTGACTCTTTGCGACCCTATGGACAGCCATATAACTTCCTCATCCACACCAAAGTTCACGGTCTTGGCCCTTGTTATAACCTCTGCATGGAACATATTTCCTCCAGATCTCCATTTGGCTAATATTTTCATTTAGACTTCAACTCAAGTATCATGGGAGAGACCTTCATAAACCACCTATAATCGCTCTTACTCCATCACTTACTCTCAGCACTCTTGTTTGTTTTTATTTCTCTCACAGCACTTATCCTGATCATGTTGACTTGCTATGTCCCCCACCTAGAATGCCAACTCTGCGAAGCAGAGAGCCTTCAATCCTGCTCATCACTGTACCCTCAGTACTCCCCTCGCCCTTTCCCTGTCATTCCAGTGGAGTGGCTGATATAAAATGGCTTTCATCAAATATTCAAGGAAGGAAAAGAGGAATACGGGGGGGGGGGGGGAGAAAGGACTGAGTAATGAATACATAAATGCAAAGGGGACAGTGACATTTCCAAGAGTGAGTTTTTCTAAGAGAAATAGCTAAGGAAGAAGGAAGCTAAGAACTGAAGTTTAAGAGCGAAGGGAGCACTGATGGGTGCTCAGTGGATTCACCAGGCAGCCGCACAGGATGGTTTGACTGCTCTCCATCAAAGAGATATCTGAAATGTGCCTGACGCACTTCAACCACCTGTGAGATAAACTTTGTGATAACATTTCAGAATGAAATTCTGCTTTTGCTTTGCTGAGTTACCAGCCTCTTTTCCTGTCTATAGGTTAAGTTACAACAACTGGAAGCTTCCTGTGTGGACCAAGAGAAGAAGCTGGCCAAGGTAACCACAAACATCAATGTTACTTCTTCCATAGGAAGGGAAATGTGATTCTTGGTCCGGCAATCTAACACATTCTTCAAATGATTGAGTTATAATAATGTTCTACTTCCAAAACTACATGGGATGGATGAATATAGTATTCTAGGTTACCTTCTATTTAACATTTTTACAGGATACATTCCATAATGTCTATTTTCCACAAATTAGCATCTATTCTTCTCCCAACTATCCCCAAATAATCTCCATGGGACTATAAAGTATATCCTCAGAAAATTAGTTTATATGTACAAAAAACATATTTAGAAAAACTAGAAGCCTACATTTAGGGTCTTGTACACAGGAGGAAACAAGTATACTATTGTTCTTACAGAAATTCCCTGAGAAAATTTAAGACTAATAAATTTTGGCTTCCCAGGTAATAGAAGACTATGCATTTGTGGCCCAGCTCTGTGAAGATCAAGCTTTCTGCATAAAGGTACAGCCTCTCAGTAAAGAGATAGCAAAGGGTTTGTTCGGGTACATGGTGAAATGGAAATAGGTTTTTCAGAGAAGACCATCTGGAATAATTTTAACTCTTCAAGGTGTCACTCCAAGGGGACTTTAGAGTTCTTGACACTCCATCACCAATATCATTCTTTTACTTCCCTGGTCTCCCAGCCCCTAGTGCCTTTAACTTAATGATGAGCACTTTTCCTACTTATAACCCCTATTATTCCCAGGGGCCTGTCCAATGGTGAAATGTGGTGAGAGATCAGTAATGATGGAGTGAAGGCTAGGAAGGAGGAAAAGTGGCAGTGGGAATACCAAACATCTATGTTACAGTGTAATAATGTGTGTTTATTATGATTAGGAAACGCACAGGGCTTTAATTAGTAACTGTGCTTTCCTTTATTTCTCTTTGAAGAAGTACCAGGAAACTTTGAAGAAAATACAAGAAGAACTAGAAACTCGATTCCTTGAGAGAGAAGTGTGAGCTTTGGCAAACAAAGGAACATCCTGGTTTTAGTGGTAACTCCATCTCAGCCTGGGTCAGAGCAAACATCTCTCTGACTAATTCCAATTTGGAATTGCATGAGCCCTGACACCACATATCTTCCCCCTCCATAGTGATCAGGTCAACTCCCCCTACACTACACCAACTTTATTTTTTTTTTTAAGGCAAGATAAATGAATTCATATAATGTTACTGTATAAATACACAATTTTTAAAAACAGCACCATTTTCAAGTGTATACACAATATGATTGCAATAAACCAAATTTAAAATACAGGTCCTTTTCCCAGCTTTCTTAAAAGAATCTAGAAATGCATCTCCCTTCCTAACTTTATCACATTACCAATTATTTGGGTTTATATTAAGGCCAGGAACATATGCCTTACAAAGGGCTAGTGGTCAGGCACCTTGATAAGCAGAGCATGTCTTATATTTCACAGAAAAGGCCTTATAATTAATACCATCCTCACTTACCTCAAATATACAGAAATTAAACCATATGGGACAGGTATGACACTAACCTCCAGACACCCGCTAAGGCTATCATATTATGAAAATCAAACTGTATACTATTATACTATATTAAACATAAATAAAAGCCTCCCCCCAAAAAAGACTCCTTAAGTTTGTCCAAAGAGTTTAACTCTTTGTTGTTTAGTTGTTAAGCTGTGTCCGACTCTTTTGAGATTCTATGGACTGTAGCCCTCCAGGTTCCTCTGTTCATGGGATTTCCCAGGCAAGAATACTGAAGTGGACTTCCATTTCCTCCTCCAGGGGATCTTCCCAGCCCAGGGATCGAATCTATGTCTTCTGCATTAGCAGGCAGATTCTTAACCACTGAGCTCCCTGGGAGACACTTAAATTCTTCAGTTTAAATCAAAAACTTCACTTCAATTTCTTGACCCTCTTTAGAAGTTAAATCCTAATTTAGTCAAGAAGTATCTCTATTTATTAAATATTTTGGAATCTTAGGGTGAAGAGAAAGAGACCCAAACTGCATAAAGCCTCTAAATAAGCAGGCACACATGGTGGCCTGGTGTCCAAGGCACTGGGACCCAGAGGCTCTCACCCTTAAAGGACACCTTCAAGTCTCCCAAAATCCTTCCTGAGCACTAGGTATGGCTTGACTGCTAAGTTTCTAAACTAAGACTATTCAACAAGAATTTATATGCTGTCTATTAAGTATCCACTAAGCCATTTACTGAGTACTTGAAAAACAGGTAATATGACTGAGGAAATTATTTTTTAATTAATTTGAATAGCTGCATGTAGCAAATGGCTACAATAGTGGACAACATAGTGTTAGAATATAAAACTATTTTTAAAATAACCGCCATATAGTATGAATCTCCGTGTGCACTTTATCCAATCTGTGTCTGTCTTGGTTCTTTTCCCCCTAGGTCAAAAGTTATGTGCATGAACTCCACAAGCAAAAAGTATAACAGCCAAAATAACAAGGTAAGTACCCACTCCATCTTCAGCTTCTTCAGCATCATTGCCTTTCAAAGGAGTTTCTAAAATTACTATAAGCCACCAAACATCTATCAATCTTCCCATGTGCATTTTCCAAGAACAGTACTAGATGTAACTTCAAAGCACTTCAACCTAAACCAAGAGGACATTAGAACAACTGTTTTCCCTCCTACAGCCATGCAAATGATGTGTTCTCAAAGAAACCGGTCCAAGAGCAGAGAGAGTTTAGAATGGAAGCGAGAAGGAACAGTAACTGAGGGTGCACTCTATGGAGAAAAGGTCAATATATTCACCACTGCTCTGCACCAATCACAGCACTCTTTCCTGATGATCCCAGCATGGTCCTGAATCTTTCACCGCACAGAATGCTAAGGGCATCTATTACCACCTAACCAGAGTTGGCCTATGAGTTAAAACATAGGAAGCGATTGTCTGTTTATGATATAGCTTTCATGTTTGTACAGCTTTAACATCATGATGCTACCAGCACACATGCAAAGGTCTGAAGGAAACAGATATGGACACAAAGCACCAGACCTCTGGGCCTGCTTGGTATCTTATGGCAGCAAACATAGATAAATCTTACTGGACTTGAGTTGTAATTTATACTTCCCTAGAACCAAGGCTGACATTCATCAGGAATTTTATATTGTTGAGATATACAGTCTTTATAATCATAGAGAGGAGAAGTCATCTCTTCTTTAAAAGCAAATATCAACAATTGACTATTATCCTTGAAGTCCTCCAGATGTTTGAATATTTATTAGACTGTATGACTGTAGTCATACAGGTTTTTCTGGTCCCAAGCTTATGTACTCCATTCAGCAAGCCAAACTCCTGAAATAAATGAAGTCCACCTCTCTAGAACCAAGCTTGGCATGTTCCCCAATATGTCCCATCATCTAATCCCAGTGGCTCATTAAATTATTCCTTCTGGCCACCTATCAGAGAAACAATAGGGTTGTCTTCATTAGGATTATGAGAGTACCATGAGATGGTTCAATGACCTAAGAGGTTTGAGCAATCCCTGTGAAGAGGCTACCTGAGCAGGTGACCAGCTAGCAAGCCACTTAATCTCACTCAAACTGTAGAATCGACTTTGTAACCCAGAAAGCTACCTTCTAATTCCAATTCAGCAAGCCTATTTCCACAGTTTTAAAATGTGATCATAATTCCTCTTCCTTTTTATCTCACAAAGAAGTTAAAAGGAAAATAACTGAGAAAACATTTGGAAGAGAAATGTCATAGAAATCCAGAGTATATCTTAATCTTTACATTTTTATAGCTTTCAAATTTTATCTCTTAGACTATGTTTGTGTGGTTTGTATAGCCTATAACCTTCTCTAAGGGTCACTGGCTAATCCAAAGGTAAGGGTATAATTGAGACAGCCCAGAAAGTGGACTCAGAGGACCTGGGATCCAGGCCTGGTCCTGCCACTTACTAGCTGTATGACCTTCCCTTTCTATGTCTTCTTTCTTTACTATCAGAATATAAAAAGGTGATGCAGTTACATATATATGTGTATGTATATATATATATACATACACATATATATATATGGGTTTCCCAGGTGGCTCAGTGTTAAAGAATCCGCCTGCCAATGCAGGAGACACGAATTCAATCCCTGGGTCTGGAAGATCCCCTGGAGGAGGAAATGGCAACCCACTCCTGTATCCTTGTCTGAAAAATCCCATAGACAGAGAGACTGGCGGGCTGCAGTCTATGGGGTCGCAAACAGTCCGACATGACTGAAGGACTGAGCACACACACACACATCCATATATACCCACATATATTTGACTTTGAAAATTTCATCTCCTTATGCGTATGAAAAAAATCTGTTAAAATTTTATCTAAAATAACATTTAATTAACAGCTCAATGGCTATTATTTGGCAGTGATAATAGCCTTCAGAAATTGTTTATTTATCACTGTCCTTTCCTCTCCTAGGATAACTCTCTCCAAAAGAAGAAAGCAGGGTTCTATAAAAGGTAAGTAAATATCTTTGAGTAAACTTCCCAGAAAACTAGGAGTTCTACTTAGCTACTCTGGCAGAGAGCAAAGTCTAGACATACAACCACACATACACATAGAGTCAAGTCAACAATGACTGCATTTCTCAGTCAATGCTATGACTTCCTTGTCTGAAGGTGATTACTAATCTCAACTTTCCAGTATTAGAAGCTAGTGGCCTAGCAGTAATTAGAAACAGGAATCTTATCACCTAGAAGAGATGTGGTAAGTCTCTTCTTACTCCTTTTTCCCTTTAACACTTTCAACTAGTTTGATGCGTCTGGTTTTCCAGTAACATCAGTAGATTAGAAATGGGGAGACCCTTCTGTGGTTCATAATCATGATGATTGGGTTTTTACACTATTGCGTGAGATATGCTTTCCTTAAACTTTGCTATATCAGCATACTACCTCTTAATGTGGAAAATAAAAATAGGGAGAGAATTTCTAAATGCAAGGATACCACTGCCTAACAACAGATAAAAGGGAGAGAAAATGATTGTGAAAAAGAGATAGCACCTAATAGTATCCAGCACACAATAACTGCTCAAAAATCTTGTTAATACAAATAAGAACTCAAAATTCAAACAACTGAGTGGATATCAGCCCTTAGGGAATCACCGTGATTGCAAAGTAAAATTAGTATTGAAGCCCCTTCATTTTTAAGAAAAGGTCAGATTATGTTTAATATGTTTAAGAAGGCATAGAGAAACATAAATTTAAAGTGGTATGAAATGTGAGTTAGAAAGATTCCCATCAAAACGGTTAACATAAAATTATTAGTGCTTAAAGGCCAGCTCCAATTGTCTGGAAAATTTGCTTAAGAGGGATACTCCTTCATACCAGATAAGTGAAGTAATACATATTCCAATATTCCTAAATACATGTTCCCAGAACAACTAGAAGAATTTTCCCTAGAACTCCTAGGCCACCTTCACCGATAACTCAAAAACCAGTGCCCAGCATGGAATTGCCAATGTGAACTCCTAGGATAAAAATTATCTGCCTTTAAAAAAAAAAAATTATCTGCCTTAAAGAGAGTAGCCTAAAGAAAATTTAGTAGCCTAAAGTCCAGCAGATTTACCTTATCACGTCGAACTGCAAACGCCTTTCCCCTTGTCCTGATGCACATCCTTGGGACACTGGTATATGTGTGCTGATAAGAAAGCAAGGTCCCAGAGATGTCATCCCAGACCCTTCTCATGAATACGGTATCCAACATCAAGGAGAGTGGTGGGAAGAAGACTGTGAACAGCTTTTGATTCTCATTTTGACCAAGAGCCTGTACTAGAATGGATCTTGTCATCAAGATTAACTCTACAGGAAAACTTCAGAAAACTGGAGGGGCAGGGGCCGTTTGTGACTGGTGAGTGGAATTGGACAGTGCTTTTGTCCTGGGGCAGAATGCAGCCTGCCACAGCTTGATGAGGGTAATATAGCAAAGCAAACAGGGGAGGTTTGCTCATGTCAATCATATTAAAGCCACAAGTGCAGAACAGTTAATCAGTTAAAAAAGGAATCAAGACTACCATAAGGAAATTTACAGAAATGTATTAGGAAATATTAAAGGTAACACGAATGAAAGAAGAGAATACCAAAATCATGGATAGGAGGTCTTAATATCATAAATATATCAATGGTCTCCAAATAATGAATAAAATCAATTCAATTCCAATCAAACTCCCCAAAAGATTTTTCATGAAATTGAATAAAATGATAATAAAATATAGCATATATGGGAGAATAAAGGGTCAAAAAATGACCTGGGTAATTTTAAAGGAGAGTTAAGGAGTGAGAAACAAGTCCTTTGAGATATCAAGACTTACTCGGAAGCTACAGTAATTATGATGGCATGGTGTTATCACAGGAATAGAAAAGTTAACCAATGGAATAGAACAAAGAGCTCAGAAACAGTGTATGTACCGAAACTTGATATATGACAGTGATTATATGTCAGAGGGTAAAGAAAGGATTGATTGTTTGATAAATATGGTGGGGGAAAAAATGGTTATCTAAATGAGAAAAAATAAGATTGAATCACTACTATATGGTATAACAAAAATCAAGCCCAGATAAGTTAAAGATGTAAATATCAATTTTTAAAAGCTTATAAAACTCAGTATTAGTCATCTATTGCTACATAACAAATTGCCCCAAAATTCAGTGACTGCAAACAGCAAACATTTTATCAACTCACATTTTCTGTGCGTCAGAAATCTGTGAGCTACTCAGCTGGGAGGTTCTAGTTCAGGGTCTGTTATGAGGATGCAGTTAAGATGTTGGCTGAAAGTACAGTCATTAGAAGGCTTGGCTGAGGCCAGAGGATCTATTTCCAAAGGAGCTTACTCACACAGCTGGTTGTTGGCAGGAGGTCTCAGTTCCTCATAACAAGGCCCTCTCCAGCAGGCTGCTTGTGTGTCCTCACAAACTCACAGCTGGCTTTCTCCTGAAAGTAAGGAGGAAGCTGCAGTGCTTTTAGTACATAGCCTAGGAAATCACACACTGTCACTTCCATGATATGCTATTCTTCAGAAGCAAGTCATTCAAGTCTATTCCATACTCCGATGGAAAGGAAGTTCTCAAAAGGAGGAATACCAGAGAATTTGTGGACACATTTTTAAACAACCATAAAGATTTAGTAGAAAATAGTATCTATATGCTATTCTTCAGAAGCAAGTCATTCAAGTCTATTCCATACTCCGATGGAAAGGAAGTTCTTAAAAGGAGGAGTACCAGAGAATTTGTGGACATATTTTTAAACAACCATAAAGATTTAGTAGAAAATAGTATCTTTTAGACCAAGGGGTAGAGAATAACTCTTCAAACAAGATACAAAAAGCATTCATTCTAATTAAAGGAAAGGTTGATAAATTAGACTTTATTAAAAACAAATTTTGAAAAAAAACAACTTTTGTTCTTCAACACCTTAGAGCAGGTGAAAGTTATAAACTAGAGGGAAAATATTCAAAATAAACACAATGGAAAATGATTGATATCAAGAATATACAAAGTTTTCCTACAAATTAATAAGAAAGGCCCAAATAGCATAATAGATAAATGGGCAAGAGGAATCACATAAAACCAATAAACACATGGACAAATGTTCAGCACCATCATTCATCAGGGAAATGCAAGCTAAGACCATAGTGATATATTACTTTATACACGTTTGATTGGCAAAAGCTTTAAAATCTGATAATACCAGATGTTGAAGAGGTTGTGGAGCCGCAGAAACACATCCTGCTAATAGAGCATAAATTGGAGCAAAAAAAATTTTCCAAAATAAAAACAAACAAAACAAGACACCTTTAAATAGTGATAATGCTGAAAGAGAATTGTGATGGGAGATAATGGTGATGGGAGAGAGAGTAGCTGGCAGACCATATGGGAAGAGGTTGCCTTTAAAAGGGGTTGTTAGGAGTAGAGACATTTGAATATCAAAGAATCAGACATGCATTTAGGTATAACTGTTTTATTCCAGGTTTTCTAACCTCTAGCTAACAGTTCCTCGGCTTTCTCTTTCCAGGATTTTTCAATATTTCTTTTTCACCACCCTGTTTTTCATCAGACTGCTGGGCTACTTGTTGTTCCATATAAGTTTTATAAATCCAGATCTCTTTGTCAACATACTGCCCAAGATACTGAGCAGGAACATCTTGTGGAAGCTAAGATGTTTCCTCTTCCCATCTCTCACACTTGAGACAGAGGACATGTTACCCCACTGACCCCCAAGAAATATCCTTGAGCAAAAGAAGACAAGTAGCATCTGAGTCCATAGACTAGGAGACACGGAACTTGTGGAGGGAAGAGTTTTTCTTCAGTTTTTCCCTTGAGGTTTGCCTACTTCATTACCATCCCTCCTTGCACTGTCTTTCCAAGATTAACCTTGTCCAGTAAAGAGCTCTGTCAATGGATTTCTGTGGCTATGCGGATAAGCTAAATAGAACCAGAGAGTAAACAAAGTAGATAATTTGGGGGAATAATATCATAAATGCTGAACAAAATTAGAGTTGATCAGTTCTGGTGAATCTTAAAAATTTAAGACACTGGATCCCTACAAAGCAGAAGATTGTTCATTACTTATATTAGAACTCTTTGGTTACACACTGCCTTAGTTTAAGTTAATGTATAAATCGATAGCACACAAAAAAAGTATTGCCTCACAGAACTAAAAATCTGGGACTCCAGGCATGGCTGGATCCAGAAGTCTGAAAACAATGTCACTGGAGCTTCACCTCTCTCTCTTCTCATTGAATGGGCATTTTCCATTGAGCAAGAAGATGGTATCAACAGCCTAAGCCTCATATTACCAGAGTTGCATCCTTAGCAGAATGAAACCATCTTTTCTAATAGCTCCAGCAGGAAAGTTCAGATAAATTGACTTAGTTGGGATCAACTGTCTACCCCTGTCACATAATCAGTATGGCCAAATGGATGGGAATACTCTGATTAGTCGAACACGAATCCATGAACCATATGTCCAACCACTTGAAAGGAACAAGGTAGGCAAAGGGACAAGAAAGAGATAAGGAATCAGCCCCATGTATGCTATATGGAATGTGTTTCCCAAAGGAAAAGGGGCACTGAATTTCAGAGAAGGGGAAAAGGATACTAGAGGCAAAGGCAGACGTTGACTTAATCACTAGTTTTAGCCTTACACATAAACATACAACTTTGGCAATTAAACTCAAAACTGTAGCTCACTTCATGTGTCTTCCTAACAGTAAAAACTATAGCTTTTCAAGATCATAATTTGAGATAAACTATTGGAAAGAGCTCAGTATAAATATGTGAAAACCAAGATCTCCAAGGCTGAAGTAAGCAAGTAAATAGCGCATGGTATATTTACTGCTTCACAAACTTGGGATAACCTAAATATGGTCAAGTCATACTCAGTAGCTTCAGTCGTGTCTGACTCTTTGCAACCCTATGGACTGTAGCCCACCAGACTCCTCTGTCCATGGGATTTTTCCAGGCAAGAATACTGGAGTGGATTGCCGTTTCCTCCTCCAGGGGATCCTCCTAACCCCGGGATCAAACTCTTGTCTCCTGCATTGCAGGCAGATTCTTTACCACTGAGCCACCATTTCCAATTAATTGTTGAACCATGCACATGCCTTATTAACAGGATATACGCCAGCTTCCTTTTGAACTTTCCCACCCTCCTAAATGATCAGGAGCCTTGACAGTTCTGAAGTCCAAGAGCACAAAGGGGTCACTGACTTCTACATCATCAGGAAATGAACTTTAACTCTTTGGTTCACTGTCATTGCTTCTTGAGGCCACATGATGTCACTGTTGGAAATGTGTCCTACACAGGTTGAATAAGCAATTAATCATCTCAATGGAGCCACATCTGATAATAGGAAAGGACACTCTTAAGAATTATGTCAGGACAAGAGAAATCAGACAGGACTGTCTCAGCAAACCAGGATGTATAGTTGTGTGCTTAGGCGCTCAGTCATGTCCAACTCTTGTAACCTGCCAGATTCCTTTGTCCATGGGATTCTCCAGGCAAGAATACCAGAGTGGGTTGCCATTTCCTTCTCCTGACCCAGGAACTGAACCCAGGTTTCCTGCCTTGCAGGCAGATTCTTTACTAACTAAGCTACAAGGGAAGCCTAGGCTGTATGGTTACATACATATATATAATCTAAAATCTTGTTGACGTGGTATATTTTGCTAATGCAGTTACGTCTCATTTTTTAGTGTCAAGGGTGACCATGCTTAGGACCTAGTGTCAGAGCTCAAGCTGTACCTCCTGTACCCTTCATACACTGTATCTTTCTTGTTCCTTTCAAGTACCCAGACATACTTCCAAGGTTAAGTTCCTAGAGGATTAAGATTGATCCAGTTTCTGCTACCATCAGCCCTACTTCCGCAGGGATCCCCGCAGTCTGGGAAGTCAGCCTACTCTTGGGAAATCCATCTATCTGGAGGTCAGGAGGTTGTTCTGAAGGCTCAGCCCTCAAAACACAAGGGCGCAGTGACATGCTCCACAGGAGGCTTCAAGCTGCATACCTTCCCTTCCAGGCACTTTCCAGACTTCTCTGCAACTTCTGCCCCTTGAGAAGAGAAACATTCTACCACAAGCTTTAAAAGGTCTCAGCAGACTCAGAGTTTGTCATGACATTTACTCAGCCCCTTTATAACAGACATGTTGTTCGTGATCATGAATACCATTTATTAAGCACTTACTATGTACAAGGCCCCTTACTAAGTATTTCATGTACATCACTGTATTAAATGCAACCTACCTAGTTTACAAATAGCCAGTTTTGAGAGCAAGCAGAACAATCAGAGTTTTGAGTTGAAAGAACCAGAATTTGGGCCTGCGTCTGGACCCAGTTTGGCCTCTAATACCTCTGTTGTTTCTAACAGCAGACATTGACCTGACAGCTGGCCAGTGAAAGGCTGAGGCATAGTCCAGTGTGCTGGGATGTTCACCCACCTGTGAAGTGGGAAATCCCAGCCATGGCTACATTTATGGAAGAATTTGGGAGACTCTCAGGCAAATTACAGATTTATAAAATTGGCAAGGAATTTAGGAATTAGTCATTCTGACTCAGTGAGGCACTTTTCCCAAAATCACATAACTAGTTAGTGACAGAATCAGGATAAAACTAGATCTCTTGAGCATTTTTCAGTGGCCCTTCTCGGAAACTAGCATTTCCCAACTCTTTACAGTCAGGCAATAATATAATGAAGATGCTGCTGCAATTGTTTAAAATCAAAATCAACTGTACCCTCCTGTCTTCCAAGGTAAAAGCATAATTCTTAGCTCTGGCAAAAATAAACTGCCATATTTCTCTCCCTGCTCCTATCAGGGGAAGTGGAGAGAAGAAAGGGTGACACTTGGTACGCATGAACCTTTTTTTAGCAGGGCACATTAATAAACCCTGAGTTATGCAAAGTGTGGATTGTGAGGGAGTGATAAGTGTTAAAACTGAAATGCTTTTCATAATAATGAAATACATGAATTTTTTTGTCACATCTGAGAGAAGCAGCAGCAAAGAGAGAAAGCTGAACAAAATGATGAGACACTGAAATCCAAGCTGGTAGAAATGGACCAAGGGACTATCAGAAAAGAAGAAAAGCTGATATTCAATTTTAGATGATTTTTCTAAAAAGTGTTGCTGCAATATTTGCTCTTACATGCTTACTTCACTGGTCAGTAAACTCCACCAGATATAGTTATAGATATTTGCCTGTACAAGTTGCCTTTTGTTAACCCTTACAAGTGAATTTTGGCAGAAAAGAAGCTGTTATCTCTTCAGTTTGAGTCAATGCTGAATCAGAAATAAACAGCCGTTAAGTTATAGAATAAAGAAGTAAGTAGGAGAAAACATTTGCAGAAATCCTCAGAAAAAGAACCAAAAAACAGTACATGAAATATGGAGGATGGTAAAGAAAGCAATCTAAGCCAGCATCAAAGATAGCAGTGGCTCCTGGTGACTTTTAGATTGTAGAAGAAACTTCTACCTCTCTTCTTTCCTCTTGGTTATCTCCAAAGAGATTAACATCAAGGAGATTTGCTCATATGTTTACTTCTTAGAGTTTTATAATTTCATGTTTTCTTCTACAAATTCAATAGTTTTACGTTTAGGTCTTTGAGCCATTTTGATTTAATTTTGTTTATGGTGTTAGGTAAGGGTCCACCTTCATTCTTTTCCATGTGGATAACTAGTTTTCACAGTACCATTTGTTGAAAAGACTGAACTTTCCCCATTGAATGGTTTTAATATCCATGTTGAAAATCATTTGAGTATATATGGAAGAGTTTATTCCAGGAATCTCTATTCTGGTACATTGGTATATATGTATGTCTTCATGCCAGTACCACACTGTTTTGAGTACCATAACTTTGTAGTAAGTCTTGACATCAGGAGGTGTGAGTCCTTCAACTACGTTGTTCTTTTTCAAGATTGTTCTGGCTATCCACTACCTTGAAATTCCACATGAATTTCAGGATAAGTCTTTAAATTTTTTTACCCCTAAAAGAAAATCATTCACAGGGGTTTTGTGAGGGGTATCAGCGAAATTATGAATGGCATTTTCTTATAATGCCTTTGTCTGGGCTTTTTGCTATCAGGGAAAAAGCTGGCCTCACAGAATGAGTTAGGACTTTTCTATCCTCTTCAATTTTTGGAAAAGTTTGAGAAGGATTAGCAGTCATTCTTCTTCAAGTATTTGTTAAAATTCAACAGTGAAGCCATCAGGTCCAGGCCTCTTCTTTTTGGGAGATTTTTGATTACTGATTCAGTCTCCTTACTTGTTAAAGATCTATTCTAAGAACAGGTTTTTTATTTCTTCATGATTCAGTCTTGATAGGTTTTATGTTTCTAGAATTTGCCCATTTCATCCAGGCTATCCAATTTGTTGATGTATAATTGTTAATAGTATCTTCTTATAATGCTTTTTACTTCTGTAGCTTCACTGGTAATATCAGTAGTTATCTGATTTCTTTTTTTTTTTTTTCAGTCATCTAACTAAAAGTTTGTCAATTTTGTTGACCTTCCTGAAGAACTAACTTTTAATTTCATTGATTTTTCTCTATTTTTCTATTCTCTAATTAATTTATCTCTGTTCTAATCTTAATCTGAACCTAAATCTGCACTTCACATATCAGCTGGCCCACCCAGCTTCCTGGTCATACTTAAATTTGAGAAATGGCTTTCTACAGAGGAAAGTTCCATAACATGTCCCTTAAGAGCCCCCACCAGATTGGCATTAGTCCATACTTAGCCACAAGAAGCTGTTTTGATCTGAAATCCCAAATATATTCATGTTTCCATCTGTAGGAGCCAGGTCAGTTACGGAAAAGAGTAAAAGAGAGATATGGGTTTCCCAGGTGACTCAGTGGTAAAGAATCCACCAGCCAATGCCGGAGATGTAAGAAACTCAGGTTCGATCC